TAGTGTTCAGCTTACGGTCACATTTAAAGGCTTCACTAGGGTAATTAGCAGTTATTGAATAGCGGGTTTGTTCTGTAGACAATCAAAATAGTTTTATAAGGTGCTAATAATATTGTTTGTTTTCTTTTCGTTTATTATATTGATTATATGTATTTAGTTACTCTAAATTACCCAATATAATAAAGTATATAGACTTTTATTGGAAGAAACATATATTAGGAAACACTAGAAAATGTCTGTTGAATATTAATTTGGACAGTTTCTTTTCACTTTACCGCAGGGCTAACGCACTGCAGAAAACCCAGTCTCCCCTTCCTCAGTGTTTCCTGCCGAGATGTAAATATTGAACTGAACTCTGAGCTGTTTTCATAGGTTGTTTGTTTTTAGGCCTCTAAAATGCAGTAAAGTGTAGAGGGATACAGCTGCAGACACTCACGATAATGACTCTACATCACTGTTTAATTTAATAAAACACAAATTAATAGATCCATTTATAAATTACAGGAATAATACGCTGGATAATTATGGGTTTTATATTATTGTGAGGGCTGGTATACGTGTTATTAAACTACCCCTTGATTGTATTTCACTAAGTAATATGAGCACTTGCTTCCAGCTGCAGCTGTATCCCTTCTAGCAACAACCCTAATACTGTTGTGCTGTTAAAGGGCCGGTTCACACTACAATAATAATCCTGTCATTTACTCACCCTCAGATTGTTTCTTATAAATGGATTGATTCTGCTGAACACTAAAAACTGAACTACACTGTTCCAGTTACTATGACCATTTATGTGAAGCTTTGGCACAATCTACATTGTAAAAGCGCTACACGAATAAAGCTGAATTGAATTGATTCTGCTGAACACCAAAGATATTTGGAAGAATGTCAAACCCAACAGATCTTGCCCCCAGTTTACTGCCATTATTGGGGGTAATATGTGTACTGCAGCAGTAAATGGGGTCATGATCAGTGTTCTGCTTGTGGAAATCAAGAGTGTTTATTACAAAACCTTTAAAGCACAATGAGAATGCTGACGTTAATATATGTGTAAACGCCACAGAATGCTTGTTTAAAAGTTTAACAACAGCAAAAATTACAAAAACCAAAACAGACAAAAATGCCAAACTAACAGATGAAAAATATATGTTGAAAACCTGTAACCATTGACTTCCATTGGAACAACAAATTAGCAAGGAGGTCAGTGGTTACCAGTTTCCAACATTCTTCAGAATATCTTCCTTTGTTTTTTCGATTTTGTTTTTTTAGCTCAACACAAAGCACTTGAGATAAAGGAGGACATTTCGGGGTGAGCTGTTCCTTTAAGAGCAGCCTCCTCACATCAGTCTGAAGAGTTTCTGTCTGTCAGTGTTTATCCTCATCTGGATCATACACCGCATATAATGAAAGCAGACGCTGTATTAATGAGCAACTCTCATCATGAGCGTTAAACACTGTCATATACGGTCACTGATGAGCAGAACACATGTACAGTGCGTACAATAACACCAACACGTCACATTCTTACACAGATGATTTAATTATCAGCATGTAAATGAACAGCAGTGATGAACACAGGCATTTCTGTGCTGCATTAGTGCAAAACCAGAATAAAGCACTCAATATTTATTAACAACAACAACAAAAAGATCAAGTCAGATATCACTACAACACTGATGATCCGCGCTCTTCTGAGACACTCCTGGAAAACAACAACAGCATTGAAAGATCAGAGTGTTTACTGTGGATCTACAGAGCATTACACACACACACACGCACGCACGCACGCACGCACGCACGCACGCACGCACGCACGCACGCACGCACGCACGCACGCACGCACACACACACACACACGCACACACACGCACACGCGCACACACGCACACGCGCACACACGCACACACGCACACACACACACACACCGCTCTGAGTTAGATATGTGCTAGTCTACAATATGTACAACATACTGTCTTGTTTTCAGAAATAATGAGTGCAAATTAAGCCCGTTTTTCCTTTTAATAATCTTATTTAAACTTATTTTGCTAGTTTTAATGAAACTCTCATCATTTGGACTCATAATTTCTGAAAACAACACGATATATGTTGTAGTCGTGTAATTATTCTGATGTCAAGAAGCATTTTCTAGAGTTTTAGCCTGGTTTCGAGAGGAAATATCTGGAATAAAAAGCATTTCTGGAATGAATAAATCAGAAAACACACCTTCAGGAGTTCTGCAGAGCCACAGGAGGATCACAGCCGATAAACGCTCGGTTATCATACGAGTACTGCAGCAGCGCACTGAAACACGGCTCCTGACACACACACACACACACACTAATCATTAATCATTATTTAATCAGAGTATGATTGCAGTAAGTCAGCCCTCTGGACTAGAGGATTGCTGACACTCCTCGTATAACATGTCTTTTTACTTCATGTCAAGCATACAGAATGTTTTGGTCTGAATTTGTTTTCAGTTTCCTTCATTTGCATACTCTATACTCGAAAGCAAAGTTCACAACATGTAGTGTCAGATCCTGACATTTTTCACGGTGTGGGATTGACGTTGGAAACCGCAGATTCTCTCAGATCCTCCTAAAACTACCACCGATCTGCACTTGACATCTTCATAGGAGTGATTTAGGAGCCCTGATCCTCATGGAGACCAAACAAATCAACACACGAGCTCACACACTACTGCTACTGCTTTAATTGCATACATTCCGAGCACTAAATGTCCCCGTAAGGCACACACACACACACACACACACCTTGATGAGCACGTGTGGGTTGCCGATGACGATCAGCAGGGCTTTGGCTCGAGTGATGGCCACATTGAAGCGCTTTGGGTTGGACAGGAATCCCAGCATGCACTGCAGCTCTTCATTCAGCAGAGACTCATTGGACCGAACCTGCAGTTTAACACACACACACACACACACACACACACACACACACACACACCTGACCAGAT